TAAAAATGGTTTTAGCATAACAATAGCAAGAATACAGTTTTATCTTTCAGTATTATCAAATATTCAAAAGCTATATATTTAATCATTGATGGAAAAAGATGGGCAGTTTGCAACTTACATAGGCATTTATTTTATTTTAAAATATTTCTATACCTCTTTTTCAAGGAACAGAGTAATACAGTACATACAGTAATGATCCAATTTTTATCCTTAAGACAGCCTAGAAAAGTAGACATCAGAACGACTGATTGAAGAACATCCAGTAAATTATATTTCCATGTTAGAACAATATGTCTCCATGATCCAAACTACAAGATACTGTATATCCCCCCAAAAGAGACATTAGCACATTTGGAAAAATCCCACAATGTAGCAGGTAAGGAATAATTAGAGAAAGAACACAGGGATATTGTAGATCAGCAAGAGTTCCAAATATTCTGAAGAATTTCAGAATCTTTAGCAGATACCAAATACAAGGTGGCTGTTGCAGAGAACAGAAGAAGAGAAAAAGAAAACCAAGGGAATATACAATAAGTATGCTGTTGGTTACATTAAAAACAAACACTATTTTGTTTGAGCTTTTACTTTTTAGTGCTTTAGAAGGGTATTTCTATGAACCTTGGCACGGGGTGAGTGAGGATTTGAAGAGAAAACCACCATCTTATTTGATTTTTTTTCATCCAAAGGAAACAAAGAGAATCTGTGGAATCTTACCCTACATACATATTTATTGTTTATTTATTAAATTTATATGACACCATCTCAATGTTACAACAACTCTGGGCAATACAAAGCAATTTTTTAAAAAAAGATTAAATAGTGTCTGAAATTATTTTAGGATAGGTGATGAGGGAGTGGGGATTTTCTCTCTACCTCATCAGCCACCCCAGAATAGAGGGCTCTTATCGGGGGCCTAGGCCAGCCAGCAGAGCCAGGGTTTAAGGTTCTCCTGGAAGGCCAGGAGTGTGAGGCCTGATCTCATCCCCAGCGACAGAAAATTCCAAAAGGAAGACCACAGCAGAAAAGTCTTTTCTCTTAGATTCTGCCAGCTGAAATTCTTTGGTAGATGGGATCCAAAATAGAAGCAAGTGGGACCATCCAATCCCAGAATCCAAACTTCTTGCTAGATCCTAACAGAGGGAAAGCTTTTTGGTGAAGTAAATCATTGTGTACCTAGGACGCCTCAGAATTGTTTCCCAATTACATTTATGGCAACTCTCCTGGCAGTTTGAAAGAGTTTGATGACTGGGCTCTGCCAATTCCCATTGGCCTCGCAGAGTGGGGCACAACCTTGGATGTTAATGCCTTGAAAACCCCCACCCCTTCCTTTTGACCCTAATATTTTTGTTTTCACTTAGCTCCTTTGAGTGATGTATTTTTTAGTTTTTATGCTTGAAGTTGTACACCTCACAAAATCCCTCTGAGAGAGGGATAGGTAGAATCTAAATGTCATAAATAACAAATAAATAAATAAATCTCTGATGTGCATACTCCAAGTTGAGCAGCATATGTGGGCCAACATTTAATTTACACGAAGCTATTTTGAAAGAACTCTTTAGCTTCACTTCATTGCCATTTTATCTCTTTCTTTTCTCTCTTACATCCCTTTATTTAAGAGGAATAATCAGCGACTTGCTTCCTGTATAATTTGCCTTGAGAAAATGTAGTCAGTTATTCAAGACGGGCCTCCTTGTGTTTGCTAACACAATTACTCCTCATTTGCTGAGAAATGTTTCATTTTTGGCATTCTTCTGACACCAAATTGTGGGGAACTGCATTGAGTGACGTTTGCTTTGTCGACAAACTTGGAGGCTTTGAGAGAAGCTATCGTTAATGGCTAACCTTCAGTGCTGCAATATTCATATTGTTTGCAACACAGGAACCAAAGCCAAATGGATGGGTTGGCAAGAAAAGAATCAACTCCTGATGATTGACAGGAACAAAAAACAAATTCAACAGTGGTTAGTTATATATATATATGTTGCAGGCCAGTAGCTCAAGAAGAATGCAGGTGGGGAGTAACAGCCCAGAAGTGGTAGTTTTTGGAGATCCTTCTGTCATCATTGGTCCAGGTTCAAGAATCACTCAGTGGGGAAAGTAGCAAGCAATAGTTGTCATGATGGGAAAATAAGAATTGATGAAAGTGATAGAACTCTCAGTCTGAGCTTCCAAGGTCTAGAGAAACTTTTTAGCTTATAGTTATCCCTGTTGGAATTGGCAAGTCTGATTCTGTGGTTCCAGTGTTCCAGAGGAGGGGGGAAAGGGGGAGGTTCATATGGTTGAGCTGGGGTAAGAAAGCTAAAAATGACACCAGGGGATTGCATTATTAAGAATTGAAGGATTATAGACCAGAAAATAATGCAAGTCAAACAAGAAGCCATCCTGTCTAGGAGGATTTGATGTTCAA